GAACTCCATATGAAGTCATTTCAAGTACTTTCAATCACAAATACAACAGTGTTTACAAATCGTTGGAAATATGCTTATTAAAGATGTGTGAGATGTTTAAAAAAGGAAGGAAGGAAGCGCTGACGGTGTTGTCGCTCCTCGTGCGGCCTCGGCGGGTGGCGATCGCTGCCTCAGCGGAACCGAGCCACAGTGCTGTCTGGCCCGACGAGCTGAGCCAGAGCAGAGGCGGGCGCGTCGTCGCGTGCTAAGCAAGCAGAACTGCCTCTTGTAGTAGGCCAGTGGTTTATTCTGAAATAAAACATTTAACTACCCTACCTATGGTGAAAATCACAAAATGGGAAAGGAAAAGAAATATGATAAAAAAAGTGGAAAAATAGCAGGGCTTATGGACAGGGTTTCGATAACGATGAAGGCGATTTGGATGGGAAAAAAGAAAGAAAATATTATATTTTGATTCCTGCGTTGCCAGGAGGTGTGCAAAGCAGAGACGTTGGCAAGCTGCAAAGCGACACCGCACGTAGCACTCACTTTCAGTTTCTGCGTGAAATTTAAGAAATTTATTATTTGTTTGCCCTGTGAATGATAAACGTCTTGCATATGCAAGCTAACGCCAGCAGTTTTTCCTGGAAACTCGAATGGTTGTCCGGTGGATGAAGGTAGAATTTGCACAGGTTTGGAACTCCTGTTAACGATGCGTATGTTTCAAATGCAATTGGTGGGGGAACGAGAGAAGGGTGTAGGTTGGGTGGGGTAATGGTTTCATGGAGATGCTTGGGTGTCACCGTGCGCGGAGGGTGGCTGCAAAGAGTTGACCTTGCTCGACTCGAGTGGGATAGAGATAGCATCGACATCGTTGTCTATGTCAATTACTATAATTGTATGGTCTGGTCGGGTAACAGTCCGCGGGGGTATCAGAATTCTAGTGAAAAATATCTTTCCCGGCGATGCAAGGTTTACAGAGGGAAGAAAGGTGTTAGCAGTAATTTTGCCTCTTTTGACTTAAGTGGGGAAACGATAGCTTCATCCTCATCATGATCAAAGACTATAATGATGTGGTCCTGTCGGTGAATGATGGTTGAGTAGAAATCGGTCACGAGGTCGTCTTCGATTGTGATTACCACATAGGGAGGAATTGTTACGTCTTGCGTTTCACTGGAACTGATTTCTAAATTTCGGTCCGTTTGTAACTTTCTTGCGGTGCCCTTACATTCTAGATCATGTATATCGGCTCCTAATGAACTGGCATTGCACTTATTCTTACTACTATTAGTCTCTATTTCCTTATCTAGTCTCCCACGATGGACATTATATTCTAACACTGGATGCTTAGTTCCTAATGAACTGGCATCGCAGTCTTTCTTAATATAACTTAAGTCTAAATCCTTATCTAGTCTATCGCTGATGCGCTCCTTAGTTCCTAGTGAACTGAAATTATACTTATTGTAACCATGATATAACCATCTAACATTAATACTTCAATTCCTATATTAATATGTACACTACTATGATCTAGACATTGCTGTAAGTTGGGCCCGTAGTTTTCGTCATAGTGACCGGTTTCAACGTCCGTAAGTGTCGTATAGTTTCTCTGTACTAGATGTATAGTATTGCCCAGAAACAATCGCGTTACGTAATTATTTATATCTGTTACTTTTGTCTGTAATTGTAGTAGTGCTTCCCTACCCTCACTAGTCCGTTTTTTGCCTTACCGTATACTGCTTTCCCGTCCATTGCACCTTGCGCGAACGATTGCGAGTAAGCGCAAGCGGTGATGGCGCTTGCGTACTGTAACGTATTAGCCAGCGTGCCTCATGGCATCTATTTGGGGACGCTTGGTTGCGGATTAGT